TGGTCAAGCCTCCACACTAATAAATTACATTCTGTAAAACTATCAATCTCCTCCTGGTCAGCTCCATTTCATCGGAACAGACGTTGGGAGACTGCTCTCGCGCGCTTACGCATTGGCCACACCCGTCTAACACACTCCTATCTGATGTCACAATCTGATCCACCCCTATGTTCTTTATGTAATGTTCCCCTTTCAATCGTACACATCCTATTGTCGTGCCCACGTTTTGAAGCAGCCCGTACCTCTGCTTTCCCCCACCTATCCTCCCTTCACCGACCTCCCAACCTATCAGACATCCTTACAGAATCCCACACTTTCTGCATCAACAACCTGTTCTCTTTCCTCAAACGCATACAAATCCTTTATCTAATCTAACACCCGACCTTAACCCTTTGACTCACCAATTCCTTTGCCCAACTTAGACAACTAATCACTAACTCAACCACCTTTCACTAACATTAACTATAGTGCTACATGACCTTAGATGTCTAGCACATTTATCTTGCTTTTAACCATTAACCATCTACAGCCCCCTTATTCCAACAACCTTCTTTTCCAACAAAGTCTCCCAAAACAAGTAAGCGAAGTTTCCTTTCGGAGTCATTCCGATCGCTCACGCCTTGTCACAGTTACATCCGAGTCCCAAGCTCGTGTACTATCTGCCCTGATTGACCTCGCTGGCAAAATAGGCCTATTCCTACCCAACCCCACTCTTCCCTTGATACTTGTACTGGAACTTTCCGTCTACTCGGGTGATTGCCTTGTGTACGCCAAAGACTGTTCAGACTGTGAAAACGACCTACTTGTCTACCTCGTTGACTATGACTATGAGTATCGATTCGGTACTACAGTACAGTACTCCCGAGGTTGCCGCCGAATGTCCTCTACCAATATTGCCAAGAGTACCTTCCGCAGACATGACCTTCCACATGAAGTTTATATTAGTGGAGAATCCTGTCCTGCCCGACCATATCAACCCCCGTCCCCGTCAGTGTGAGAAATGCTGGCAATTTTGGCCACCCTTTCAAGTACATCCACCCATCCATCTTCCCCCCCAATCCCTTGCCCGTTGTTGTCGTGGGGGGGCTTAGGAGGCGGAGACTGGGACCCAATGATGGGGAACTCCCCAACCTTGGGACTCAGCCCTCGACTCAACTAATTATGCATGGTCTTTTTTTCCCTTCCCACTTTTGTTTCTGTCCCTTCACCAAACCCTTCTGCTATCCACCTCCTAAGGTGTGAGAGCCGTGCTGAAAGGATGAAAGGCTGACTTTGTGCCAGTCCTGAACGGCCTGAGGGAGCCATGGGCACGGTATTCCCCTGATTTAGATCTAGCCCTTACCCCTCAAGGGGACCCTGAGGGGTGGACTGTTTTTATCCCCAACATAACCAGGCTTACCATGGCCAGTAATGAAAATCTATCCCCACTGTAAGGGGCAATGAGGCTTGCCCCTATATCAAATAGCCCCAAAGAAGTAAACCCACCCGATTCCCCGACCCCAGGCTCTCCTTTGACCACGGCTCCGAACACTGCAAAAACTGCCCCTTCACCAATGCCTACTAGTACAGTAGCCAACAATCAACCCTCAAGGAACATTTCCACTCTCCCAGCATGCCCAACTTCAACACCTCTACCCCCACAACCTCCAACATCAAACATCCCATCCTCCCTTATTAATACCTTACAGCCTTATAGCCCACCTCTCCATAACACTACCTCCCTCAACACTACTCCATCTTCGTCACGCCCTCGCCCTTCTACCACCACTATCTCTAAAACAATCTTGAATACTCTCTTCAGTGCAGCCAAATGGGACCGATTTTTCGTGATCCCTCCCACAGCTCCCTACTCTGACAACACCCTTCTCTTCCAACAATGCCTCCAAAAACAAGTAGGTAAAGTCTCTTTCCGTAGCCGACCCGACCGCTCCCGTCTTGTAACAGTAACATCCGAAAACCAAGCCATAGCATTAACAAAACTAACTGACCAATATGGTAACCCCATCCTAGCAGAACCCCATCCAACCCTTAATACTTGCACCGGAACAGTCTCAATCTCACCAGCAAATTGCCCAATCTATGACAAAGATTGGTCAGATTGTGGAGAAGATCTACTTGCCTGTCTCACAGACTACGATGCAACATCAGTACAATGCTATTCCATCCCCCCCAGAGGTCATCGAAAGAAACCCACTAACATAGCCAAAATTACCTTTCGTAGACATGACCTTCCCTTTAACGTCTACATAGGAGGAGAATCCCTCCCTGTTCGTCCATACCAACCTCCTCCACGTCAGTGCCAAAATTGTTGGCGTCTAGGACACCCAGCCAAACACTGCCGTTCCACAGCCAGATGCCCATTATGCGCCCAACCTGGCCATACCCGATCTAACTGCTCTGCACAATCACGCACATGTGCCAACTGTGGCGGCCCCCATAATGTATTTTATAGGGGCTGTCCCACCTACAAATTTGAATCTGAGGTAGCAACTCTCAGATTCAAACTCGGACTCACACTGCGTGAAGCCAGACAGGAAGCACGTCGACGTGGATTCTCTCTTACTCCTTACTCCAGTAATACTGCTCATTCTAACACTTCTCCTAAACCCACCCCTCCTACATCTAACCCTTCCACTAACCCCACCTACCTTCCCCAGTCAAACTCTTTTGCCATCCTAAATCCAGAAACTCCAATCTCTACTACAGATACTCCAATCACCACTACAACCCCAACACCTTCCCCTCTCCCTCCTCGCACTCCCCGTAACAGACAGAACAAACGTTCCACCCCCTCTTCCCCTACCACACAATCACCCCCACCATCCTTTGCCCGTACTCTTGAGACACCAGTCCTCTCTTCCCCCCCTCACAAGAAATCCTTTATCCCTCAAAACTCCCCAACTAACTCCACAGAAGAAACTATTGAAAATATTCAAGATTACTTAATGAAAACCGACACTCAACCTACAACTCCTGCTCCTTCCACACTCCAAGTAATTGCTGATATCCATCCTCCTCCTAACGATATCCCCCCTACACCCTACCCTCCTACCCCCTCCCAACACAGCCCATCCCCCCTGACCCCAACCCTGCCCACATTAACTCTCCCACCATCCCCTCTATCCCTTCCACTCCCTCCTGGATACACACGTGAATCCCTTATGTCACAAGTATCCCCTTCCTCAGACCCTCCATCTCCTAATACCCCTCCTGATAGAACACCAACTCCCACACCTCTCCTATCTCAAACCTCTCAGTCCTTATCCCACCCTCTAGCTGCTTCCCCTTCAAATTCTCCAACACGTACTACAATCTATATCACTAAATCAACGAAAGTATAACTATCCTTCATTGGAATATTCGCGGTTTCCGCTCCCACAGACCTGACCATCATATCCTTTCCTCTTATAACCCATCTATTGTATGCCTTCAAGAAACCTTTCTTATACATACCCTTTATCTAATATAACACCCGACCTTAACCCTTTCACTCACTAATTCCTTTGCCCAGCTTAGACAACTAATCACTAACTCAACCACCCTTCACTAACATTAACTATAGTGCTACATGACCTTAGATGTCTAGCACATTTATCTTGCTTTTAACCATTAACCATTAACCATTAACCCATCCATCTTCTCATATTCCCCCTCCACCCCTTCCCCCCCACTCTCTCCCATTACACCCCATCCCCTACTGCTCCCTGTTATCACTTCCCCTCCTACCTGATACACACGTGACTCCTTTTTTGTCATGTGTCCTCTCCTATTATTTCTTCATTATTTTTTAGGGGGAGGGGTACCTAGCTCCCCCCAAAAAAGCATATAAACCTGAGTTTTTTTTCTATAAGCACACGTTTGAAGTATATTATGTGAAAAAAATATATAGAAAGTTAAGATAAAAGTAAAAACACGGCTACACCAACATACCCTACCAGTACATATACTAAATAAACGCTTTTTCATAAACCAATCTTATGGATTAAAAGTGTGAAGAATTCTCGATCTTTCACCCAAACAAATGGCATACAAATTATATATAGATATATTTAGAGAAGCCACACGACAGAGGTCAAGAACAGCTGACTCAACCGGAAACGTGTTCCATGTGACAGCGCTTACGACGAGCGTTACGTGGAAGAACATGTAAGTAGCAGCGAAATGTTCTCGAAATATATAAGGTAAGTCTCTAGGATGAATATGAACGGGAATGAATAATTTCAATCACTGTGAAAATAGATTTGCAAGTGGCGTGTGTTTTTTTTAAATTGTCTAATTGCGTAATTCAGATTGAATATCAAAATGCTTGCCATGCTTTTCCATCAATATTTTTCAACAACGTGCTATAACGTCGGAAGATATCTGTTCTTCTGTGTCCTGTATAAAAATTGGACATTGGACAAACCACCAGTATAATTGTTTACCCCCGAATCCCTTGCTCATTGTTGTCGTGGGGGGGGGGTTAGGAGACTGGGCCTGAGTTCCTTACGTTGAACCTCCGCCCTCCCCTCGACTAGTTTTGCATCGTCTTTTCTACTCCTTTCCTTTTCTTATATTCATCCCCTTGTTCTGTCCATTTACCCTAATCATTAACTCGTTTTACCATTTTCGTCACAATAGTTTATCATAATGCTCTCTACTCTCGTAACTCCTACCAGTTCCACTATATCTCAACAGCATCCCCCTCTCTACCCATTTCACTACTATACTAGTCCTGTACAACCTGTAACTTTACCCTAATCATAAATTCCTTCCTAACTCTTTTCGCTACTATACTTCACCATAGCGCCATTATGTCCTTTGATGTCATAGAGCACGTGAGACAGCCCCCAAGCCTCACTTAGGGGGCCTAAGAGACAGGGACTGAGGGCTAATGTGTGCCCATTAACAGGCATGCCCACCGACATGCCCATTCATCTAGACAGGCCTTTAGTCCCCTTAAACCTTAGCCCAAGAAAGACTAACAATTATTTGTGCAATGTAGGATACAGACACAGGCATGGTTATTATACATTTATTGGATATACATATATATTTATGTATGAATCAGAAAATATACATGATTTTCAATCATAAAATAAAATTCCACTACCTACCCAGTACACAAGAATAATTATAATTTTGGTATTCCATTCACAACAAAATGTTACATCTATGACTTACCAAAGGAAGAAAAATGAGTATCAAAGAGAAAGAAAAGAATGAATAAGATATAATATAGATACTAAACTTCATGAACTGCCACTTGTCATCACCGTTTTTGTAAACAGAGGGGGAAAAAAATAGGCAAAAATTGGATCCATTATGTCCTCTCAAGACACTGAGAAAAATACTTTACCAATGATAAATACAAGTATATTTGTAAAAAAAAAAAAAAAAAAAAAAAAAAAAGTAAATAATCAAGAAAATACAATGTCTTAACAGAATTTTGAGTGATGCAATAAGGGCATTTCCTCTACTCTTCTCTTATTAAACTTAAAAAGTGGTTCTTAGGGCTCTACATTATCACATGGAATCCCTGACATTATTTTAGGAAATCAAAATTAAAAAAAAGGAATCCAATCTTGAACCTTTTTCATCACAAACAACCTTTTTATCAGACAACTGCAGATGATGATGATGATAAAGACAAAACAAGAGAGTGGATACTATGCAAAAAGATAATAACAAAGGGCAAGAAAAAAAAAAAAAAAAAAAATACCTGCAACTGCCATGTGATATTTTCTCAACCCATAGCATATCAACACAGACTCCTAAGCAAGAACAATGATGGTTAATATAGGATCTGTCCATTAAGTAACGCCTCTGTACAATCGCGTGAGAAAATTGCTTGGAAAGGAAGATCAAGAAAGTTTAAAATTCAACCTGATTACAGCACCTGCCTTGACATACAACCATGCTCGTTTCTTACTATGCGTGATGCATCCTAGAACTCAAAAACAACAGAGCTGTCTGACCTTTCTCTGTCTAAATGCGTGTCAACAACCACAAAATAAGAACCATGCACAGGTACCATGTTAAATAACCTACACAGATTAATTACAAAAAAGAGGTATTATAATACGAACGTGAGAACCAATTTTCTATGATCTCAACCACCAAACATAAGGAAGGACCAATGCATGTATATGTGAATGCTGATGTCCATAGCAGCTGATGTCCATAGCACTCTAAACACATGTGCAGTTTCTAAATAATATGCATGCCATCCCCTACATTCATCCACTTACATGTCCATGATTATGATTGGATTATGGGAAAATGAACGACACACAGGGAATGCAAGTTTTCCTAACCTAAGCATTGTGTCTAATGCTTTTTTATTCTTTATGACTTTTCATACTACTTGATTATTTGTGAACCTCATAGTACATCCTCTAGGTAATCTCTCCCTGTATGACATTTTCATGATTTTTCTACCAAACTGATTTTAATTTAGGGTTAGCTAATACTAAAGAAAAAATGGAAGATTAAATTTCACTTCAAAGTGAAATATGCTTATGAAAAAAAAAAGAAAAAAGAAAGAAAGAAAAAGAAAAAGAAAAAAATGAGTTTGTATTATTCAATCTTTAAAATTTTCTTCTCTAAGCCTTGAAACATCAACATGATAACCATCTGGCTTTGCACTTGTTATCACTAAATAATTCCTAATGTAATATGCATGATAAATCTAAATATATATCTCTCACAACATTTCGATAAACTTCTCTATACAATGGTAAAATTGAAGACTTTTCCACATCAGACCTTTCCATTTCTCGGCTCCAGCGCATTTCTCGACTGGAGCCATCCACACTCAACAACCTTGTACAATAATTTATCCCAGATGAACAACAACAACCATAATGCCAATATTTCATACCAATTACAACCTATTTCAACCACACAAGATCTTTGCAATACCTTCTTCATTTCTGATTACTGTGGAACAACCAGGTGAACAAATTTCATCTGGGCTTTAAATACAGAAACATGCAGAAGATGCAACTCTACAGGTGGATAATATACAGAGGGAGGAGCAACTTAGCCCCCTCCAACTTACCCCACTCCATAACATAACAATAACAATAACAATAATAATAATAATAATAATAATAATAATAATAATAATAATAATAATAATAATAATAATAATAATAATAATAATAATAATAATAATAAATAATAATAATAATAATAATAATAAAAAACTAACAGAAAATGATAGTTATGACAATGAAGAAAAAAAAATGACAATAACCATAGCTATATTCGACTTTAATTCATAAAATACTAATTAATAAATAAAAAAGATATCTGCAATAAAAGAATGCCGAACCCTAAACCAACAGTAAAACCTAAGAATCCCAAGCATGCTATGTCAACGAGAGAAAAGTGGTTTCAGGTGGCGATTTCATGACCATGCCATGATGCCAGTGTGAAGGGGGGGTGGGGGGGGGGAGCTGGAGGAAAGGGGGCTGGGGAGGAGAGAAGCGGTAGCGTGCTGCTTCATTGGGACTTCTTGGTCGCTGCGTCGTACGAGGGGGGTGACTCCGACTGAAAGGGGGGGAGGGGGGGCAGTGTCAATTTGTTATTCTGAATCAATTTTTGTTTTGTTTTGTTTCTTTTATCGGACTTATTTTTATTTTCATTTATTTATTTTCTCACACAAATACACACGTATACACACACTTGTTTCATTTTAAAATAAGGAGAGAATGTTCACTTACGTATGCAGGCGGTGGCACATAAGCATACTGTGGGTTGTTAGGGTCGTAGTAAGCACTCTGCGCTGCTTCCTGGGCCTTGGCATCTGTGGCAGACAAATGAAAAGGATTCTTTAATATTCAATATGTATTTACATATTTGATCAATTTCTTATCTTAGGTCTATTACAAAGCCCTGGTTCCACAGTTCTGAATTTCTACTTAGTATAATGGCCAGTATATTTAGATACTTAAATGTAACCCTTTTGGCTCTAGAGCAGAAATCGAAAAAAAAGTCCTTGATGGCTTACAAAAAAAAAAAAAAAAAAAGGGGGGGGGGGGACAGAAAAAAAAATATCCCATAAACCTGGTCACAATATCAAGTGAACAAATATTACAGTGCTTCTGGATATATATGCTGATATATCAGTTCATAAAATTCCCAACTGAATAATCCATTCATTGGTGAACCAACATGTTACAAAACTTTTACATTAAAGCCACTGCAAAGGATTACAAGGCATAGTGAACCTCAGCAGACAGTTAAAAGGTTGACAAGTCGTGATTCCCAGGACCCACAGATCACACCAGTGTATGAGCCTCCCCTCAAAAAAATATGAACAAAGAAAATCCCAAGAGTGCAGAACGAGCCTGGCCTCAGGACAACAAAGGCTGCCATTTCCACTGGGAAGGGAGGTTATATATACACCCACTGAAAGCCTGTGGACGGCAGCACACAGCTTGGGTACATGAATGAAGCTTACTCGCAGGGTTTCTTTCTTTCTTTCTTTTTTTTTCTTGAATTATAGATGAGCTTTTGGTTTCATGGGTGGCAGTTATGGATAATTATGGATAGACCTAAGAATGCTTTTTTAAATATATGAAGAGGGAAGTTACAAATTGTGGCTGCCTACTCCTATGCAGGTTGTTAACATACTAAACACTACCCACTAAACTCAAGGTCATAAGAAGACCCTGAAAGGCAAGGTAGTATGACTACAGTAGCATATCAACATTATATACCATGCCATTATTATGTGCACTTTAAAAGATTCCAATTTGATATTAAAGCTTTACAATCAGCATGCACTTTAACCCAAAAAAGAAGTCAATGTAAGTGAGCCCTACCTGACCTCACCTTAAATCTTTGTGAAAAATGTTTTTTTCTAATAACTATCAATATAAACATTATTATTAGTAATATCAATATTATTATTATTATCATAATGTTATCAAAATACTAACAGTAATCAAAAATAAAAATAAATCTTTCCAAAACAAACAGAAAAAGGTAAAAAAGTGAGATAGGTTGGGCATGTAACTGATGAACTAAAATCACAGTAAACAGTAAACATGCCATGTGTGGCATTCCATCCTGGGATCACTGGTTTAAATCACTAATGTATAGCCTGGTTTAGACTCTATTCACTATACTCACTTATCTTAACCCAATGCCACCAGGGAAAATTAACAAAAATGTGGAAAATGTTGTGCCTATTTTCAATATTTTTGTGAAATGTCCGCCCCCAGATAGCTCTACAATCAAACAAGTACTCACAGTGGGCATAGCACGTACGTACACACCATACCCGTCGGCATTGGGTTAAATATATGTTGTCTCGGATAAAGCATTCGCTAAACAAATTTACAATGATGATGAATGCATAGCTATAGCCCACTCTGGGACACCAACCTGCAGCCGAAGTAGTGAATCCAACAGCCCCATTGTAACCATTGTGACCGCTCAACCCAGGGTAAGGAGGGGGTGCCTCGTACATGAAAACACCATCCGCTGAAAAGGAGAGATAAGACACGTCACCCTTATGTGCTTGACAGACAATGGTCTAATCTCATGCAAAGGCAAGTATCCATGAAGGAAATCCAAAAGTATATTATAAATGGTTATGTAATGAATAAAGATTGCCAGAGCATTGCTTATATTAAATATCACAACCTAAGAACATGACAATCTTTTAGATAATGCAAGGAGATTCATCAAACAAAAAATAATCCATATGAACTATTTGAGAATGGGGAAATATATATGAAATATTATAGTATCATAGTTTACAGAACATTACTGGAATTCTTACAAATGTTATGAATGAAGAACAAAAAGAATGAGATAAGAATAATATAAAAAGTGTGTTACAGAAACTGTGAACAACTAGAGAAAAAAACAAAAAGCCTAATAAGTACAAACATTTCAAGACCAACAATTTTAAACTGACAACTAGAAGCTATTGTTTCTGACCAAATTTCCAAGTATATAGACTTTAAGATGATTATCTAACAATAAAGAACATTTTTCTTCTAAGTTTTTATCCTAATGACATAAATCAGTAGACCAAGACCTGGAGTAAGTTCCTTTTCAGAGCCACTACCTTCCCACATCCCCCATGAAAGCCAAACACTACAGAACAGCAAGAGAAAACCAGGAGCATATCCCATGTCGAGCCTCACCTGGTGGTCGATCGGGAAACGTGGCAGTGGGAGGCACCCATCCTGCATAGCCTCCTGTGGGTGGGGCATAAGCTGGGGGGGGAGCCTGTGCCCATGGAGCTGATGGGGGGGTGTAAGGTGGCGGGGCATCTCGGAAGCTGGAGTCCATGTTGCGGGTGGCTGCCAAAACATAACGTAGTTAAAAGAACATTTCTCACAAACTTCTGAAGTGTTTCAGCGCAAAAGACACAATGGTCAAACTACCCCAAATATTTTCCGTGCTAACTCAATAAAACGATCCCTCACCAAGAGAGGCGACCTTGAGCATGGCCTGGCCAAATTCAATGGCTCCACCATGCTTGAAGGTGAGCTTGAACTTCGCCTCCCCTGTCCAGCCTCCATGGGGTTGCGGTTGCACTGTCCCTTTGATGTAGTTGGCTCCGAACACCGGCTGCTCCAACTCAACCTGAGGATTCCAGACAAGTTATAGTTCAATGCTACCTGCTGTGGGGTTGTATACTTTAGGTGTGTGTGCATGCACATGCAAAAAAGGCATTCACTCAGATTTTTTTTTCAGTCTCCTCTTTCTCTTTCTTTCTGTCAGTCAGTCGCACAGACAAAAATCCACAACCACATCTCCAAAAATTAAAAAATTAAAAAACTAAGACAATCACAAAAATGCAAATAAACACACACACACACACACACACACACACACACACACACACACACAAATAAAAATAACATCAAATAAAGTTTACTATATCCAAAGAAATCAATATACTGAATGCAAAGAAATATGCATATGTAACTCTTATTAACAAAAAGTAAACAAAGCCATTGATTAACAAGAAATCTAAAATGTTTAAATACTTAAAAATACAACTCAAACAGAATTAAAAAAAAAAAAGCTAAACTAAACAAAACAAAAAGAGTTAAGGCTGCCTCACTCCCTTGAGCGAAAAGAAGGGCGACGCGAACGACTGGAGCCTGTCCTTGCCGTCCTTGTTGTTGAAGATGATGCGGTGTGTGGTGAGGTACAGCCGGCCCGTCTTGGAGCCCTTCATCTCGGGGGGAAGGTTGCCTCCAAACTCCATGGACACGTGGTCGCAGAAGAGGATGATGCTGCAAGGAGAAGAAAGGGGAATGTTCTCTTTCTTTCTTTCTTTCTTTCTCTTCTTTTCTTTTTCTTTTTTTCTCTTTTGATTCATTTGTTAACTGTTAGTGTGTGTGTGTGTAGTATACATGGACAGGCAGTGTGTATGGTATGTGTATGTGTATGTGTATGTGTATGCGGGTGTCCATGCTTAAATGCCTGAACATAATTATACATCTTAAATGAATACAAAAACAAGCATAATAATGTGGTGTATAAAAAAGTAAAAACACGTAATATTTCTCCATATTTCATTGTATCTTTTTCTTTTTCTTTTTCGATTATACAGACTTGCATGGTATCTGAATGAATGCCCAGAGGGGAAAATACCTTAAGTGTCATCAAAGATAAAACAAAGTTATTTCCAATAGGTTTTTTCTATAATTTCTAATGGTCCTGTGAATCTAAACCTACACATACACTACTATAGATGTTGTTAAATGATCATGATGCCAACAGTTTTACCTCAGCCCTGATGCAAATATATATTATATTAAAATGGGTAAGAATAAAATAAATTATGCTTTAATGCACTGGGCTAGTTAACAACTGACCTATTGCCAGTGGTTAGTACAAAGCATGTAGAGAAATATCCTACTTCTTGGGTACTTCTGTTGATCTTGTTTGCCAGATATCTACAATCATAAATGTAAATTGTCCAGAAGCTACACTAGTATTTAGTAAATCAGTTCCTTACAACAAGCCAAGGTAAACTAGAATATTCTGTTACTATCCCCTGTAACTGATTACTCAGATGAGCTAAATATAAAAGTATGTGCTATTTATTTCTTCTTGTACATGAAAAACAAATTAAATTTCTCTGTGTAATTTCTACATGTGACATGAATGCTTACCACTGCCAGAGATCATGATGGTACCTGTCTTTTTTCATGTATCTATGTCTAAATTTCTGCAATATGTTAAAAAATTTCCATACACACATCACTAAGTTGCCATAGTAAACATTACTTGAAGTCTCATATTGATGCCAGATAATCAATCGCTCTTCCGTTACTGCTTTTCAGTTGTCAATACAAAATAGCTAAACCTGGGCCTAAATGCATTCCATGGATTACTGTGGATCGAAAACGAGCAACAGCCAACTACGTGCGTCTTTTGCAGGCAGTCAACTCCCTTACATTAGTATGTATCATGGCACTGCATACAATTCCACCTCAGAAATTCTACACACTTTGAATGTGGATATTTGGATGAGCAGTGGGAATTATGGTACATTTTCTTGCTATAGCCTAGTTTAGCCCCTAAAGGTATCTTTAACACAATATACTGTACAGTCTCACACACTGGACAATGTTATTTGATATGTGGCATATGTGGTGCCAGGAAAAGGTAGGTAAATGGTCACATGACATCAATCACTGCTTGAGATTGTTCAGGTCATTATTTTTCATTACTGTCAGATACTGCTTCTTGTGACACTTTATATGTGTCAGTCACTAACTCATGATAATACAAAGATTATAAATACATAAAATAATTATTGATGATGACTGATGATAATAATAATATCTATCATCATTATATTATCATTATTATTATCATTATTATCATAATCATTATTATTATCATAATCATAATTATAATGATACTACTACTACTAACAATAATAATAATAATAATAATAATAATAATAATAATAATAATAATAATAATAATAATAACGATAATCATAATAATAATAATCATAATCATAATATGAAAAATAACAATAATAATAATATATAAAGAAATGAAAACAAAAATTATAATGATACTACAGATACAGTAAGTCCCCAACTTAAGAACATAATGGGGACTGAGAGGCTGTTTGTAAATTGATTTGTTTGTATGTCGAAAGTCGGGTCTCCATTACCTTTTTTCCCATTGTTTTAAAGTTTTGTTTACATTAAGAATACCTGTAAGTAAGTCCCAATAAGTATGACATACCTTATACAGTACCAGCCTCTTAAACTATACTCGCGCCCGGGAAATTTGAAGTTTGCTAGCATCTTTCAAACAATTCTTGGGACTTTAGTACTTCAAAAATTTTGTTTGTATGTATGGAATGTTCATAAGTAGAATGTTCTTAAGTAGGGGACTATCTGTACTAATGGAACATAAACATATTGTGGGGCTTAAATATCTTCCCTTATTCTTGCAAGGAATTAAATAATCTCCTTACTTTTCTTTGAAAATTGGTGAAAATTTGAAGGCCTACATCTTCCACAGTATGAAAAGTCAAGAGGCATATGCCTTTCAAATAAGTATCATTAAAATAAATCCTTGACATAGAGAATGACACCTACGCAACAATTACAAAATTATTATCACACAAGATATTCCCTTGAAAATTGATAGTTTGCATAATATTTTGGAAATCAACAAAGGACAAAATCTATATGGAGACTCAACCTCTCTATGGCAGGTAAACACTGATAAGACTGTTGTGCACTTAGACAGGTATTTTGTAAATGATTATGATAAATATTTAGGGGATTAAAAATAGGACTTTTTTTTCTTGAAAGTATTCAGGTTATGTCCTATCAAATCAGCTCATAAATTACTTACTGTAAGTTGTAAAGGATGGCCTACAAAATAAGAGGCTTATTATAACATAAGTCGCTGCTGCTAGTATCAAAACTAAGGGTATATACTGTTTTCTGGCAAGACAGCTATGACAGGTCTTGCTGTAATATACTGTGGTATATTACAAAAACACTGTATGTGTGTTGAAGAGTTGCAGACTTCCTCTTTTTATCCCCCTCCCACTCTCCTCTACTGTTATATAAACCACTGGATCTGGGGGTGCCTCTCAGCGGTCTCAGGCTTCCTTGAGTGACAACGCTCGCTGGTGTGTGGTTTGTAGGCCCAGCCCATACGACCACTCATGCATATGACCACTCCTAAGCTCTTCTTTGTAATGCTATTAGGATAAAGCAGAGTCGATAATATCTCTATGTAAAAATAGTACAATAAGTAATTTTGTGTTATTTTTGTCACCCATTCCTCGGTAAACTTTTTCCCAATGACTAGGTGTTCCTGTCAACCAACCCTCGACTAAATTTCTTCATGGCAAGATGACCATGTCACCCAGATCTATTAAGTTAAACACAAAAACTGAAGTCTTGTCTGAAGTTGACCAAAGGGTCTTGAAATCATTTTTAACAATATAATATCAACAAGGTTGCTAATGCTAATATACAATCATACACTTGTATATAACCTTTACTTCTGCTACATTTTTTCCTTCTGTACTACTAAGAATAAAGCTTTGAATCAAAGGGCAAATATATGTCTGCATTACATTTCCTATTATGGCAAAGCATCAAATTTATGATATATCATAAAAAGGAACTGAATATCATTCAATCTAATTTGTGGTCTAAAATATTCCATATTTTGAAAAAATCATTATCAAATACTGAATATATTTACTGCAATCATTCTGCAGTCTTCACAACAGCTGTGGGTTCCTTTTACTCAGTAACTGGTAATCATCTGCACAATACTATCTTGTGATCGATAAAAGACTAGTCATAAAATAGCACTTTGGTTAAAAATATGACTAATTTGAATCTGGCACTTACATTTTTTTCTTATCACACATTTCAAGAGTGGCCATTAATGTGATTCATCAAATTATAAGAAAGAAACTCCATATAAAATAAACAAAATTATCTACGGTTCCTTTCCTCAGTCTCATAGCTTCCACCAAGCGTCCCAACTGATCAATACTAACAATCAATACCAGACCTCTCACTCAATTCTCTCTCCTCCAGAATCTGAAAGCAAAATACCACCCAAGTACATCGTCTCTGGAGATTTATGCAGTCCAAGCTGCAAAAAAGTGACTCATCTGGTATCTAGAATTTCTGTAGCAACCACCATGTTCACATCACAACAGTTACATTACCAATTCAGGGCATTTGGTTCCAGATATACAGCACTACTTTCTACACATTCTTTTAAATATTCATTATCCTTACACTTATTTTCAAGGATGCCATAGCTATATTGCAGCTCAGGAACAATGAAGACATAGAACCCAAAGGAACATTCCATTAGAACCCTCTACAGCTACTGGATAAAATATAATAATTGTTTACTCAAGAACTAGTATCTTAAACTCAACTGGTCCTTTTAAGTCCTTATTTCACAGCATGCACTACCCTTTGTTCTCCCCACTCAAGGTCCATAATGGTGTAAAATTATCCTGGCTATTACAGTTATTACTTTCAAACAATTAACATAGTTTTCACTGAATATTCCTCTTGGGTTAGTGCTCTGGCCTTATCTACTTGAAAAAGCTTACTCCTTAAACAGTCAGTATTGAATAGCTGAAGTTAATACCTCAAATTTGAAGCAAATTGTCTGGTGCAAACACTTCAGTAACTTCCAGAACATTTTAAAACCCATCTTATTTGGTATCACTGGACTGCTAATGATATCTAGTATGCATTTATAGTCATTCTGGACAATGATAGCCAACAATAGCAACTATACAAGACCCAATGGACAGGTATCATCGGGAAAAGTTAGATTATGCACTAGGTTAATCTTTATGGTATAGATGCACTAAGGTAGGGCAAATTGAAGACAAATTCTTGTAGGATATAAAAGGTTTCATCATCAGTACAAGAAGTAATCTGCAGAAATGAATTGTAATGCCACAAATAAAGGAAAAAGATAGTGAATAGCACAGTTCACAGTCAGAGTCCACTCAATGCTCCCAAGTTTCAGCTCTATTGTGCTATGCATACCATGCCACACATGTTTCCTAGGGGGTGTTGGGGCATTAACCAATCCCTTGGGTAGTTGCCCAGTCATGGCAACTTTGATTGTTGAATAGATTTTGTGCCATAGAGTTGGAGTGCGTCTGTACTTAAAGATTTACCATTAATTATTTGGGTATTTCTGCTACTGTTATGAGTGGTGGAGAGTTGTTGGCCTTCATCCCCCCACCCCCCACCCCACTTGCTGAGAGACAAAATCTCCACCTAATCTGACCAGCAAGATACAGCCCAGAGAGATGGAAGTGATGCACCTCATGCATGACATCACAAACCAGCTAAGATGAAGGTAAAAATCTTTAGAATGAGCAACCCTCCGTGACAAGACCTTTGAACCTCTGCTTCTCTAGGCATGAACAGTTTCGCACTCTTATTCTGGGTTATAAACCTGGAGTGGCAAAGGTCTGAGTCCTCGTCAAGGAAGGTTGTTACTTGTCCATATCAATGTGTTATTGCACCATTCAGTCATGTGCTCTAGATAATTAGGGAAAATCTATGGACACTATCAATGAGAGGGAAAAAAATACTCTCACCAATGTGCGAAATAAAGTGCAAATGTAAAAAATTGATGTCGAAAAAATGCTCGGCAGAGACTAAGTCCATGATGATCTGGTGGGGGTCCAAGGGGCAGAGCCCACGACTAGAGAAATAGGGCAATTGCGCGTCCAAGGCTCCAAGCAGGGAAGGTTATAAGTTCATATGGTGACGTTTGTGGTTTCCTAGGAGTGGCCTAAGGTTGTTGGCTAGTGTAGTAGGGACTCAGAGGGTGCAGTCACTTGGAAACAATCAGTGCCGATGCTCCCACCCAAGAGTATCAGAAAGGCAAACACCCCCCCTCCTTTGCAATAACATGATGCAATCGTGCAGTGAGTGTCATATTGCAATACAGCATATTCCACTGAAATGAATTGGCTGACACCACACGAGTGAATTACATACACCTACTAGAAGAATTAACCTTCCTTTCAGAAAGACAGGAAAATACATGAATTAATAAAAAAAAAAAAAAAACACCTGAATACCGACTAAAACAAAATGTAATAATTTTCCTAAAACGCGAACGCAAATTTTCCTATAACTTTGTCGACTCTGGAATTCGCGAGAAAATTCCCACTTCTTCTTCCTCTATCGACAAACGGACAGGGTATGTGTCTAAAGATCTATTACCAGAAGTTACATTTGCATAAATGTGGACGAGATAAGGTGTAAATGAAGATAATATCAGCTGTGAACATGAAAATATACGACACACCCACTACATTTCCAAGCCAAATATTTCTCCCTATTACACCCTAACTTGCTGATTTTACCACCTGGGCGTACTCTTAGATCCTTAATTTCTCTAAATCCACACGGTATTTGGCATGAAACAAGTGCTAACTCACCATTCTCCAGCGTAAATAAGAACGCCTTTCCCTGCATGCGCA